TGTTAGGGACCTCTCTAAAGTACTCTGGAGTAACAGTGTCTCTCTGAGACTAAGGTGCGCCTGATACCAGCCATGGTCTTTGTAATCACTTGTTATACATCAGAGAGTTGGACAATGACTAGGGAGGACAGAAGGAGAGTGGATGCTTTTGAGCTGTGGTGCTGGAGAAGAGTACTGAATGTACCATGGACTGTCAAGAAAACAAAACGATCCATCCTAGAGAGAGTAAACCAGGCTGCTCCTTGGAGGCAAGGATTCTGAGACTTCGTCTGACATACTTTAGACATGTTGCAAGGAGAGACCCGTCCTTAGAGAGGGACATCATGCTTGCGAGGGTGGAGGGACAGCGCAGGAGGGGAAGACCCTCTATGAGGTGGATTGATTCAGTGACTGGCGTAATCGGGATGGGAGTGTCGGAGACAGTGCGATTGGCACAGGACAGAGCGGGGTTTAGGGCTGTTGTACATAGGGTCGCTATGAGTCGCACACGACGGCACATAACAACCTCCATAAAGCACGTGCACCAACTAAGAAACAAAACCCACTGAAGACGTGGAAAGGAAGAGGAGCGACGTCCCGCCTCGCCCTCCCTCCTCGCGGCTGCTCACCTCCTGCCTCTCGGCCTCCTTGTTCTTCTGCCCCTGCTTCTTGGCGTACCATAGTCCGATCTCGCGGCCTTTCAGGTGCCCCGGGTGCCGGCCCCGACCTCCGCGACCGCCGCCGGAGCCTCGGCTCCCGCCGTGTCCCCCTCCCCGGCCCCCGCCGAAGCCCCCGCCGGAGCTCCGGGGACCGCCGTCGCGGCTCCAATTCTGATGGTAGTCATAGCTCATTGTGCCGGCGGAATACAACTCGGGAGACTCGGAACCGCTAGAAATGGCGCCAGGACCCCAGAAACGAGCGCACGGCCACTTCCGCTCCGCTTCCGGCGCCCCGCGCAGAGCGGAAGCTGCGTGTCGTCACAAGCACCCCTTCCGGTGACGTCGCAGGGTGACGTAGCGGAGCCCGCGCGGGGGCTCATGGGATGCTCCGGGCCGAGCTGTTCTCGCCTGTGGTTATAGCTCCGAGGGGACACAGAGACCCTCAGCGGCTTTTCCTTCTCCGGGGCCAGGAAATGCTGTGTGACTTGCTTTCCGATTCCTCCAAGTCACATTCAGAGTTTGCTTTCACTTAGACCTTGCATAGTAAATATCAATTAAAGTACCTGTGCATTCGTGCAGTCATGTTGTTATGTGTCGTCGAGTCGTTTGCGACTCATAGCGACCCTATGTACAAGAGCCCTAAACGCCGTTCTATCCTGTGCCAACCTCGCTGTCTCAAACACACTCATTTCCACACTCCACTCACAGACTCGATCCATCTCATCAAGGGTCTTCCTCTCCTTCACCGCCCCTCCACTCTCCCAAACATGATGTCCCTCTCCAAGGACCAGTCCCTCCTTGCAACATGCCCAAAGTATGTCAGAC